ACACACACATTTAGTAATTTATTTATCTCGGAGAATTTTTCCATGGTTTTTTTATTTATTTAATTTTTCTAACACACTTAAAAATTAATTTTTGGTAACCGATGTGATTCAGTCTTAAGTTGATTTGTCTTTTTCATTCTCTGAAGTTGTTACTAGGGTGCATACGAAATTTTTATATTTATTAAATTTATTCTAATCACTTTTTCTTATTGGTTTTAGGAATAAAACATGCAACTGGAAACATTAGGTTATTGCAATACTTAACTTTACCTTGTGATACAAAGTTAATAGAGAGAGAGAGATCGAAACTTATTGTTATTTTTACTACATGTGTAAATCGCGTGCTTCCTTCGACAAAATATACACTAAAAAATGTACGGTGCAAACGTACATTACGCATATAAGTCAACAGAGTATCATAATATTGTTGATTGAATGTCATACCATTCAGGCGCATCTTTTGAGAGTATGTTTCGAAATGTATAATGCTAATTACAAATAGTCATAATTTCCAGTTAGTTTGTAAATTAATTTTTTTGTTAAAATTATTTATATAGAAATTTAGTTTTTTTTTTTATGTCTTGTAAAAAAGTTCTACTAGTTTTGTACAAGTGTAGAAAATGCTGAAAATGTGTATTTCAACATAAAAACTATTGTGAGATTTACAATATACAAAACCAAGCAACTTCTGCTTTTTTAAAAATGGGACCACACACGTGATAATGATGTAGATTTTTCTGATCAACGTACAATATGAAATTAAGTGAAAAAGAAAAAATGATAATAAAAAACCTTTTTCCCTCATACGTTAAGTATACAATTTTTAGCATCCTTTGGCCAGAAAAAAAACTTTTCTCTTGTCCAGTGGCAAAAAGTTACCACTTTTGATCCAGTGTATTGATAAAAATATAAATCAATGTAAAAGAGAAAATCATACACTTTCTACAAATTTTAATTATGAAATATTTAGTGTACTCTATAAAAATAACTTATTTGGTTAACAGTTCTGTGAAAACAAAAAGTGCCTTGAATGAATTAAGAAAATAGTGATTATTATACTAATGCTGTTTCTTTTCGTTTTTGTTA